TTTTGAGACAACAGTCCCTTTAGGATGCCTCAAAATGTGCAGTACTGGGTTCTCCAGCAGCCTGTTCTAGAAGAACCGCATTCCATCACTAAGTATTCGCTCTGGGTGTTCACAGTATCAGCACTGCATCAGAGAGCGAAGCTGATGCATACAAGAGAAGAGACTGGGACAGATGCACATGTACGCACACATTTCCCTCCTTTTCTGACAGAGCAGGCTTCACACAAGCCACAACCAGCGTTACCAGTCATCAGCATAGATCCTACATGCTCCAACCAATGAGAAGCAGAGACAAAAATGCATTTCCTTAGCACAAACCAATCACACGGCAGATAAACAGAACAGAGAGAGAGTGGCAACATAAACAGATACACTAGGACAGAGAGCTAGTGTGCTTCCAGAACAGATGCGTCTTTTTTAGGGGCAAAGCACTGCATTCATCCCTTTTCTGCACAAACATACACACACACTCTCCCTTATTAAAGCGTGTCACAAATCCATTTAAATGCCATTTAATCTAAGAAAACTCCAATTATTTGGATTCAGATGGTTTTAGGCACCAAACACTACTTTATATTCGATTAGTGCTTCATATTCCTTTAGAGTCGAGCAACATTTATCTGAATCAAGACCGCACACCACCACTGGGAGAAATCCATTACACAACCAGGCGCTAAACAGGATGCCTGTTGAAGTCAATTGAGTTTATCCTCTCAGTCTAAGTGTGGTTCATCCAAAAGCTCTGGCTTGGCAAAGCTTGCTCTCTCTCAGATTTGCTGGGATACTCTGCATGCGGGACGGCACTTGATTGGAACAAACCCGGCATTGACAGAGTAGCAAAAAGAGACGTACAGAGGCAAAAGAGAATGAAAGACAGACAGGTGGCGGCACTCTGGGGGGGGGGACAAACAGGCTCGAAGCCCATCTGGTGGGACCCCAGCATCTGTAATCATGGACAACACCCCAAAAATGATGCATGTGCCCGATCAGGACCAACCGGATCAAAATGTTCAGCATGTTGGACAGGATGTTCCGTTCATGTTTTTTGTTCCACGGCTATAAAATATTCACTTAAAAGCTTCCCATATCAATTAATCATAAGTGTGTGAACACACTCAAAAAAATGTCAAACTAATTTTGCGCCAAAACAGTCGTAAAACTGACACGTTTTTGAATCGAATTAAAAAAATAAAAATAAAACACATACACAAATATCAGGACTTACCAGTACAAGCTTGTTTGGATATTCTTGATATGTCCACAAAATAAAATATAAATATAATAATAAAAATGTATTACAATATTAAAAATGCAAAATAATGAATCACTTGTAAGCAAAGAAAAAATTAATAAATTAACGTCCTTTATACGCAACGCTACTGACAACAGCAACAAGACTAGCTGGTGCAGGCAGTCACGGCGAGATGCTACAATAACAGCATCCCCCTTTCAGGAAAGGATGGATAGAGGAGGGTGACAAGCACACCGGATAAATGGAGGCAGGAGGGGAGGAGGGACACTATGGCGCATGCTCACTGAAAATCCCTGGGTATTTAAGTGTCACATGACTCGCTCTGAGCTGTCATTCATCTCTGGTTGGAAAATGAAGGGAGGGAAGGGGGAGAGAAAGGGAGAGATGGATAGGGGACCATTATGTTGATGGGTGGCGCCATCACAGCTGCTGGTTTTTTTCCATTTCATTAAAGAAAGAGGGAGAAATGAAACTGTAATCTCTCATAGCCCACCCCCAGGCAAGAAGCCCACCAATGACATGCGTGTTTCCGGCTTAGAGCCATGGATTAACCCTTTATAAACTGAGCTACATGCACGCGCGCGCACACACACACACACACACACACACACGCACACACACTGTACATACATACATACATACATACATACATATATATATATATATATATATACACATTATTAATCACTTTTTTGCATTCAGTAGTTTTTTTGAATGGTTTTGTAATGATAAATTAACAAGCTAGAAACATTTTATGAGTTCATAAAACATGCAGAATAATTATCTTAAAAATAACAAATGCATCTTAAAATATTTTTTGTGGAGTATAGCATCACATCACCTACCCATATAAATCAGAATACAGAATACACACACACACACACACACACACACACAGACAAGGATTTTTCAAATAATTGCTGTTCTTTTCAAAGACTTTCCATTCATCGAAGAATCTTAAAAAAAAATGCATCAATGTTATAAAAAATAAAAAAATAAAATAAACAAGTAAGAAGCACAACTGTTTTCGGCATTAATAATAATAAGAAACATTAATTTGTAAGCACCAAATCAGCATATTAGAAGGATTTCTGAAGGATCATGTGACACTAAAAACTGAAGTATAGCTGCTGAAAATTCTGCTTTGACATCACAGGAATAGATTACACTTTAAAAGTATATTAAATAGAAACAGTTATTCAGCCTGGGTGAACATAGGATCTACATCTATCTATCCATCTGTCTATCTTCTTACATCTATAAGAAATATTTCTTGAGCACAGTGTGCTAAGAGTCAGTGGCAGGTGATGGTGCTCATATTTCAGCTGCTGAATCTACAGCTGGATTTAATCTAGTCTAATACCTCACATTCCACAAACTCACAACTGTAGCAGACAGACTGCAGAGTCATGCCTATAAACGCACATCAGATAGCTGTTCACATGTCCACATGCCTCTATCAATATAGAAGATTACCGCAATTACCATACATTGTAGGCCTACTGTATGTTGCTTCTTGCAAGCCAGAGAGGCCTAAGCACTTAAAGCAAGTGTGATTCTGAAGGGGTCTACGACTATTTTTTGTCTTATTCCAGTAGGAATTTAGTGTTAAGTACAATGATTGATAGTTTAGATAACATATTGTTTCATAAACCATCAAAAACCGCAACAACTGCTTGTACAAAAATAATCTACTATAACTGTGGTCCTTTGTTGCATCTTGTTTTAAAGAAACCACTTTCATTGCTCATTGACTTATAAAAAATGGTATACAGCGCCCTCTAGTGACACGCTGTGTTTTCTATGTACAAATTCAAATTTTATACTGCGCTCGCGAGCCCTAATGACATAATACACACAGCGCCCTCTACTGACTGTTTAAGAAATAATCGAACGTGAATATAAAAATATTTCTCATCTTTTAGCCTGGTGTTTATTTATTCAAAATAAGGTAGGTGCATACTTCCCTGTCCTTCTCTCTAAACATTCAGTGACTAAAACAGTCAAGCAAAAATGCATAGCTCGATAAAATATATAAGCAAAGGTACAAAATGTAAATATTGACCTTTAGTATCGCTGTTCTAAATAAGAATTGGAGGACAAAATGCTCCTGTTTGAACAAGGAACCTGTTTGGTCCGTTTAAAATAGATGAATAGAACAGATCAATTTAAACTTAGATGCTGCTATACAAAATATTTGGATTATTATGTCACATTCAATGTTTTATAGTGTTCCTGGATGTATGAAGACGTCTTATCAATGGAAAAAGCCACCAAGGACATTTCAGTTTGGTTTATCCTTGGACGTAGCTAATTGGTCCGTCATTTACAGTATTTTTCAAAATGGATACACACCATTACCGAACACCAAATCCATCATCCGCTCATACTAAAATAGCAGAACCATACATGTATGGCATGTTTTATCCCTGTTACTTTCACATTATAAACTGAAGTTCTAGTGCACTCTCCTTACTCTAGCACGCTTCTCATTAACAAATCAATATAAAACTAATATAAACTCAAACTAAATGTAACTGTTTCCTTCACTGTATCAAACATATAAAAGTCACACGTGCTCACTGAAATACCAAACAAGAAATATCACACATAGGAAAAGCAGAAAATGATAAAGGTTCGAGTACAAAATGCAAAAGTGATTATGAATGATTTATCTTGAAACAATCCTGCCAAGATTGAGAGATGACATCACACCAAACTGTTCAGCCGAGGAATCAGAATCAGCTGTCAAATGATGCTGAAATTGTGTCGTCTTCAGGTGGGTGGTTAGATAACATTATTCCGTTGAGAACGATCCACAACCTGACCTCTGACCAGGCCTCAGTCCTGAGATTGGAATACTAGTAGGCAGATATAGTGCACAGTATATTCATAAGTACTGTATTACTTACGAATACTGTGCACTATACACTGCTTACTATTTTTAGTACATAAAAGGTAGACAATAGACATTATTCATATGCTTTAAACAGTAGTGTGCTACTTTGTCACATGGTTGCACAAAAATAAAAAGGATTATTTTGTATTTTTTAATCCAGTTTTGTATAAAATGTCTTAACGTGTGGCACACTGATCAAATAAAGAATAAACAATGGCTTATTTGAGTCAAATTTAAATTACTTCCAGTTCATGCATTACACAGGAAATGGAAGGTCAAGTACATTGCATTGTGGGATAGTGTTGTACAAACGTTATCTCTTTGAAAACGTTATTCCCTCTCTATACATAATATCCTCATATCTTGATTATGCTATCCTTTTTTAAAATAGGTCATGCCAGTGATACAGTTAATACATAAAACATACTATAAAAAAAAACAAAAAGTGCACAACAGTCAATTTTCCTGCATTGCTTTTTATTGAATTAAATTAGGACTAGTCTGTTTCATCACAAATCCCATTACAGATGCTTAACTGGTCAAATGTATTACAAAAATAAAATGCTTTTATGTTAATTATACTGATTAACAAATTACATTTATGCTTCAACATCAAGCATATTATAGTTCAAATCAAAAAACATGCATTTTGTCCCTGCGTTTCAACTTTATAGTCAAGAATTTACAATGTTTGTCACAGCTGCCACAATCCAAGTGATTTCCACACTCTATACATTCCTCATATCTTGATTATGCTATCCTTTTTTAAAATAGGTCATGCCAGTGATACAGTTAATACATAAAACATACTATAAAAAAAAACAAAAAGTGCACAAGTCAATTTTCCTGCATTGCTTTTTATTTAATTAAATTAGGACTAGTCTGTTTCATCACAAATCCCATTACAGATGCTTAACTGGTCAAATGTATTACAAAAATAAAATGCTTTTATGTTAATTATACTGATTAACAAATTACATTTATGCTTCAACATCAAGCATATTATAGTTCAAATCAAAAAACATGCATTTTGTCCCTGCGTTTCAACTTTATAGTCAAGAATTTACAATGTTTGTCACAGCTGCCACAATCCAAGTGATTTCCACATATGGTTGTGTCCAATATATAGTGATAGGGAAAAGAACATCTTTCCATTTAGGATCATGCAAATACATTGCACTAAGGCCCATGCCCATATATCTTCACTCTAACACAGGAACAGACACTGATATAAGCATTGCTCAGCTCCAGCAAAATACCACTAGGTTAAATGTGGGTAATGAGTGTGATTACTCTGGGGGAATCGTTCACCCGGTGCGCCCCTGTGGCATCAAACACTGAGGCCTGGCTTAATGATCCTTTGCGGAGCAGAAGTATGTTATCTTTGGCTTTGAGGTTACAACACAAGGGGTTAATATGAAGGCCTGCGAGTTGAAAACAACAGGGTTTGGAAAGCTAACACTTCATTTCCCCTCCAGAATACTTCTGCACTAATACATTTCTAAGAGAAAGATGAATGTCAATTTAGTGTTGCTTCACAGGGTGAAGTTAGTGCACTTTTGTGTACTGTTCGTGCATCACTAAACCAAATCATATAAATCACTAAATCAATCCTCCAATAGGCATGAGTGGGAATCCTGCAATTAAAAGGACATGACATGTAGGTCCTCTTTGCTTTTCTTCTTAAAATAAAAATATTGTATTAAGGGCTAAAAAGGACAGTGTGACTTGTGGCAAAAAAACAAACAAAACATAATGCATATTTCCAGAATCCACACAACACTCAGCACAAAACATTTTAGCAGACTCAAGTGAGGTGTCCTTCCCTGGCAGGAACTACGGAGTTCCTTGGATTTGTGACTTGTGAGCCCTTTGAACATTGAAGGGCCTCCTGATGCCCTGAATTAAACTATTGATATATATTATTTCTTATTCATTGTTTACACTTGCTGTCAAACAAGGCTTTTAATTAGCTAGTACTGTGTAGTCTTTGAAAAATGTCCAGACGGAAAGTTGGAGAAAGGCAGTAGCTGATATTCTCTTCAACTTCCTGAATACGGCGTTGGAAACGACAGCGGTCCCGGGCGATTTCCTCCCAGGGTCCATGACGGTCCTCATCGCTGCTGGCATAGAACTCCTCAACCTCTTCTACAAACGTCACCTGTGAAAGGAATTAAAAAAAAAAAAAGTTTTTAGTCTACTGTTCATCAAGTAATTACATATTATACATATGCATACATGTTATATGGGCAGTGCATTCTGCATTATTAAAACCTGGCATTCTTAAAAGCAATCAAAGGAGTGACAGTAACTAATAAAATAAAGCAAAAATTCTATTTAAAGCAAAAATGCCCTTTCAACTTCAGAACTACAAATTAACATGGCAGGCAATCTCATCCTTGCTTTACAATGGATTCACAGCAAAATTAACACCCAATGCTCTTTTTTTCTCCTCCCTTTTCAGACTCACCCTTTCACTGTTGCTAAGTAACATGTGATTTCCTCTGAACTGTTGATGTATAATGTATGAGTGAGTATATGATTGCTCATAAGGCATCTGAGTGGTTGGGAGTGCCATCACCTCAGACCAAATCTAATGACTCTGGCTAGTGTGATGCCAGAGTCATGAAATGCAGCATGCTATAAAGTGATAATGAGTAATGGGCAGAGCACAAACTCAGTCTCCCTAGAGACAGCAAAATGGAACCATTGCATCAGATCATCACAGGCAAAAAAAAAAGTAGAAAATGATATTGCATGGTTTTACATCATTTTCTCAAGCTGGCCTATACTGCCATATTGCCAAACGGAAATAAGGCAGAATGCCACCGAGAAAGAAGATTAACTGTTGCTACCAGTCATTGTATAGAATAAAAGATAATTATCATGCATTTAAAATACACTATTGTTGGAGCGATGAAGGCCTAAGGCCATTAACCATTATTCTAAATATATAAAAGGCACAATTTATTCTGTATTCTCTTACTTATTCTTATTTTGCTATTATTCAGTTCAGTTCAGACTTTACTTTCTTGGCAACACTAGAATCAGGTGTAATTCATAAGCATTAGTTAATGCAACAGGTGTCAAGAAATAACATTCGGCAACAATTTCTACAAAATGTATTCATCTAGATTAATGTTAATTTATTAATATGTATATTATTATTCACCATTTCATGTTGGCCAGATAGAAATGTTTAAAATGAATTATGTATTGTACAGTATCATTCAAAAGTTTGGGATCTGAACTTTGTTTTTGAAAGACTTATGTTCATCCAGGCTGCATTTATTTAATAAAAAATATTATATTATTGCTTTTTAAAATGAATATATTTCATAATATAATTTATTCTTATGATGTCAAAGCTAAATTTTCAGCAGTCATTACTCTAGTCTTCACTATCGCACAATCCTTCTGAAATCATTCTAATATGCAGATTTGGTGCTCAGTTGCTTAATATTTTGTAGAAACCATGATAGATTTTTTTTCAGGACTCTTTGATGAGTAGCAAGTTCAAAAGAACAGCATTTATTTGATATAGAAATCTTTTGTAACATTATAAATGTCTTTACTGACACTTTATCAATTAAATGCATCCTTGTTTAATAAAAGTATTCATTTCTTTAAAAAAAAATTCTTACTGACCCCAGGACTAACATTAACCTAGATTAATAAATGATGTAAAAGTGCTTGTATTTTTTTTTTTTGTTCATTTTACCTAATTGAAGCTTATTTTAAAAAGTGTTACCATTTTCTTATACCTACTATTAATTTGTTCCCTTGTGCCACTGCTGCAAACACCTCAATTTCCTCCAAGGGGTCAATCAATTCTTATCTTATCTAAAATAACATAGATATTAAAAAGAGCCTGTTGGCTGTTTAAAATTGACTTTCCTAAGGAAATTGCTTGCCCGGTCCCTTAAAAATTAACTTAACCAGGATTTGAATAAGCATTTGCAATGATTTTTAAACATAGTGGACAAAACTGGACTTATAGTTTATAGCTAGACTAATAACAACTGAATGAGTCAAAGGAGAAATAACTGACTCCGTCTGATTCATTTTGCCATTCCAGACATAATAAGGTGTTCTTAAGTCTACCTCACTATGTCACACCTATGTCAAACAAACAAAACATTCAGAAAGCTAATTGTATAAGTAGTTTTAGACTGGAATGTGTTAATGCATTAATTAAGGTCAATGTTATACAAACCTTCTTCAGCTGAACAGCCGTAGCACTGCTTGAGCATGGCACATGGGGAATCTCTGAGAATCCACTGTCCAGCCTCTCCTCAGCCTCCTCTCTCTTGTAGCGAGGCGTTCCAGGCACTTTCTCCATCCAGCACCCTTTGGGGGTTTTTCGAGTCTGTACGGGGGCCTGGAAGTTGAGGAGGCTGTAAGGATCTGCTGCGCAGCTGAAAGAGTTCCACAATCTCCGATTCTCTTCCTCATCCATCTCACAGGCGTCTTCGCTGGACTCATTCTCTGAGAGTGAGGGTGACGATGGAGGAGGTGAAAGCCGGGAGGACATATGCACTGGCGGAGACTCTGAGACCGAAGAGTCTGTAGTCGCAGGGCTTGGCATGGAGGCTGTCCTTATGGGAGCTGTGAAGTTCCTCGGGTTATAAGGATCTCCGTTTTGGCACAGATAATTCCACAGCCTCTCAGTCTCAGAGTCGGCCTCCTCTCCATCCGAATCTTCCTCAGATTCATCGTCGCTGTCATCCAGGTCCTCAGAATCTGAGAAGTGGGATGGGCCTTCGCTGTCAAAGCCATCATCGTCATTACTATCCCAATCGCCATCATCCTCCGATTCGGATTCGCCGCTGCAAGGGCTGCCCATGATGTAGGCAATGACCTTGTTTTGACATTGAGGAGCGGCCAAAAAGGGCACATTTTCAGCAGCTGGAACTGTTTCTGCTTTCTTTTTTGAGTCCTCTTCCTCTCTTTCCTTAATTTCAACCTCACTAGTGACAGGTTCACTATGGAACTCGCTCCCTGTAGTGTTAGTCTGAGATGAGCCGTCCTCGGAGGCAACAGGGCTGGCTGTTTCCGACACCTCCTGTTCCTGGGAAAGCAGCTTCATGTGAAGCTTACCATTTGAGTGTTCTTCCTCCAAGCTGGAGTAGCCATTATCTTGGTCTGGAGTCAAAATTGTCACCTCATTGTAGGCTCTACTACAAACCAGTAGTTGCTGCTCAACATCTAGTGGAAGCTGGTATGAGTTTGGGAGGGATTCTCCTTTGGGCAGGCTTACATTGTGGGTTAGCTCTTTAGAGCACAAGGGTCCAGTGCTTTCGTTGTGCACTGACCGCCCATCATCGCTTTGACAATAGCCTACACTGTGATGTTCTCCACAATGCTGCCAGCTCGTATCAGTCTCTTTTCTGCTTTGTGCTACGTTTAGCAGCCAGTTCGGAGGTCTGTCATCGGCCTCCAAAAATCCGCCCCACCGCCAGCTGTTTGGGGTTCGCACGGACAGCATAACCGGGCTCAACTCGCATCCGTTTTCCGGTTTCGCGCGCCTTTTTTCCTGCGTGTTCTGTAACACCTGGGTGATTAAGTTTCTCGCCGTTCTGAGGTATCCGACCGACGCTTGCTTTCGAAGATTAAAATCTTTCTGGGAGGTACTCTGAATTCCCAGTTCACTCAACGAATCGTGCGCGAACCAGGAAAGAGTCCCTGGGTCTCCAGAGGACGCGCCAGGCGCGTTTTCATGCTGGCACTGGAAGTATGCCACTTTCAGAGGGGCCAGAGAGTTTCCTATATCTAGACTTGACTTCATTTCAAATGCTGTTTGCGTTCTTCCGGGGAAATACCTCTGCAGGAGAGACCACGCAGGCCTTGAAACTAGAGAGAAGACGCTTATCCACGAGCTGTCAGCGCGCTCGTCACTGTCACGCGCGGACCGCGTGTCCACTTGAGAAAAGTGTCCATGTGTGCTCATACTTCTGAAAAATATGAAATGCGTTGAACTACATAAACGAAACTAAAAACAGTAACGATACAAGCTAACTATTAACTTTAGTTACTTCCTTTATAAGTGGCCGCTCCTTAAACCCACTGTTTAGACTTCATTTGCATAAAAGTGATGGAGTTTAGAATGTTAGGTTTCAGTGTCTCTAAATGTTACTAAAGCATAACAGTTTTTAATACAACCTAAATATGGCCTTAGCTGGCTAACGCAGCTAGTACCAAGCTTTAATGTATGGCTAAATGTTAGCTACGAAAAAAGTAAAACACTCAGTTTCTCATTCCTTTCAGCCCTTAATACCAACCATGAGTACAGCTAAATATTCTCCGGGGTAAATGAAAGTGTCCATGTCGTTTAGGCTGTGTTGAGTCCGACCCGGCTCGCGCAAACAGCTTCAACGTCCATATTGACCGCAGTATTAACGCCAACTGTGCCGTCCTGAGGAAAATAACACAACTTATTTCGGTTTGAAGGGGTTGTAGAAACAGCAGAAGGAATGGAAAGGCATTTTGAGGTGGTGTAAGAGTAAAAAAGGCTGGTATAATCCAAATGAAAGCTTGAAACAAAAGCCATTTTGACGTCTGAAGGGAAACGAGCGTAGGTTCTTCAACTGTCTCGTCTACTGTCACCTCAATCGAGCCCAGGTGCCGCGTTTTCGGAAGAAAATACTGTGAGTTGTGGGAGAAAAAACGGCTGTACCATCAAAATCGAGTCAAAGTAGTCGCCTTCGATTTACGAAAAAAAGCGGTTTCACTTTTAATTCGTTTTAAATAGAAATACTTGGTATTCAGACTCGTTGACGTCGCCGTTTCGCTTGCTAGCCGCGGAGCTAAAGCGGAGATTTCATCAGAAAAGCTGTAAGGGAGCGTCTCTAAATTTCAGTAGCGCTGGTGCGCTGTAAGAGACCGTGGTAAAATTATGATCTCACGTGGAACTTGGTTATATAAGATGTTCTGTGCACGTCACGCAATGTCCAGGCAATACAGGTGCATCTCAATAAATTAGAATGTCGTGGAAAAGTTCATTTATTTCAGTAATTCAACTCAAATTGTGAAACTCGTGTATTAAATCGTGCACACAGACTGAAGTAGTTTAAGTCTTTGGTTCTTTTAATTATGATTTTGGCTCACATTTAACAAAAACCCACCAATTAACTATCTCAACAAATTAGAATACTTATTAAGACCAATAAAAAAAACATTTTTAGTGAATTGTTGGCCTTCTGGAAAGTATGTTCATTTACTGTACATGTACTCAATACTTGGTAGGGCATTCAAGGTCCAGAACGGTAGGAAAGACATCATTAAAGTAATCCATGTGACTCCTGTGGTTTAACCTCAATTTTATGAAGCAATGCACGTGCTTTGTTTGTGCAAAAAACACATTTTACCGCTTTCTTTTCTGAAAATATTGATCTGCCACACACGCTCCTAAGAGCATCATGACGCATGTATGTTGTGTTCACGCTAGAGTTAACATTGTAGCATGAACAAGCTTTGAATAATATTTTATTGTAAATAAAGTGGTAAATAATAAATTTTTTTTGGACAAACATAGCACTCGTGTTGCTTCATAAAATTGAGGTTAAACCACAGGAGTCACATGGATTACTTTAATGATGTCTTTC